AGCGAGAAAGTAAAAAAATACATTGTAGACACTTTCCCTTTGCAGATATATGTGAAAATATTGAAGCTCGTAAATGCTGAGTTTGATGAATTTATCTTGGAAAACAAAATATTTATATACATATAAGTACCTACTTTTGGACCGATATGAAAAGCATAGTAAAAAAAAAACAAATAAATGCCGATTTCGGTCAAGAAAAGTTTTCCATACAATAACCTACTTTTCATCCGATCGTTCCTATGGCCCGCAACAAAAAGAAAGCTCTAAACATGGAAGACTAGTTCGCAAAGAAACATACAGAAAGACAGACTGAGATAAGGACGGACAGACGGGCGAACAGACGGACTATATCATCTCGGCTGTTGATGCTGACTTAGAATTCATTCTATGCGTTACACATTTCATGACAGAATTATATAACCTCTACAAGGGTATAGAACGAGTTTTTAAATTTGATATTATAGTGTGTTTATCAATGTAAATTGGTATTTATTAAAAAAAATCCACATTTTATCTGTACATATATACGATAAGTAACTAAGCGGACAAAATATCAGTGCTCATTTTCTTATGAGTACGTAGTAGCTTTTAACAAAAAATCTAAAATCTCTATAGCAATAGAAAATTTCAAATGTGTATAAAACTTAAATTAGCCAAGCCTTTTGTCATTTTCCAGTGACAGTTTAGCTGGCCACAGAACGTTATTTGGACACTGTCCAGCTTCAGTCCAATTCATAGACCCCGCACAGCCCACAGTTCAGTCAACTGCCGCTGCCATTGGTATTACCTGGTAATACCCGTTTCATCTGGCCATGGTCGACAAAGAAAAAAGGCGGATAAAACCTCAAAAGCCGAAACCAAAAATGCACTCTTTCACGCGCAATTCGAGCGCCTGGATATGGGGGAGTGGCTGCGTTAGTGCGGTAGGCGGCAATTGCACCGTTAATTTGGTGTTATACACGCACACACACTATCCCACACACACACACACGCACACACACATGTGCGTTGGCGTGTTTTGGTCGCTGGCAGAGTCACCAAATGAATTCAATTAATTAAATTAGTTCAACTCGCAGCTGCAGCCGTTATCCGCTAGTAACGTGGCCAAAGAGATCGGATCCGGGATAGGGGTTAGCGGGATATATGGGGAAGTCGGGGCAATTGTCGACGCGGCCATTACGCAGCTGAATAAAAATTGCGCGATGCGGTCAATACTGTGCGGCGCAGTCGGCGCCGCCGTCGACTCAATTATCGCTTTTATGAATGGGCAGCAAATTTTGCAAAGCGCCAACGACGCGACGTCTGCCTTAACGGAACATTTTTGATTATCCTTCAATCGGGCATTGTGATTTCCCTATCATGTTTGCAACAATGTTATGTTGATAATTGTACAACAATAAATACTTTTGTCTTACTTAACTGTAATCTAAGAAGAAACGCCAAGGGTGGAACGAGTGGAATCGTAACATTAAGATTTCAAAGTGTTCAAACTGCTCCAGTCAAACGTTTCATTAATAAAGGTCAAAAAGGTTATTATCTCTCATGCGGGCAATGTGATTTCCATGTCATGTTTGCAGCATTCCATGGAGTTTCTAATGATATGTTCATTAAGATTTCTTGAAAATGGGACAACAAAACATAATTTTATTTTACTTAACTGTAATCTAAGAAGAAACGCCAAGGGTGGAATGAGTGAAATCGTAACATTAAGATTTCAAAGTGTTCAAAGTGCTCCAGTCCACCGGTTCATTAAAAAAGGCCAAAAAGGTTATTATTTACTCTCATGCGGCAATGTGAATGCCATGTCATCTTTGCAACATTCCAAGGGGGCTATAATGAAATGTTCATTAAGATTTCTTGAAAATGGGACAATACATATCTTACTAAACTGTAATCTCAGAAGGAACACCAAGGGTGGAACGAGTGGAATCGAAACACTAAGACTTTAAAGTGTTCAAAGTGCTACATTCCAACGTTTCATTAAAATAGGTCAAAAGTGAACCGAATTCAATAATCCACTAAACTACGTATGCACTTGGCATGCTGTTCCATTCCAATATACCATTGAACAAACTCAATCTTTATTAAAATTTTAGGGAATTAAAGTTAGGAAGAAGCAAAAACAAAAGTCTGGCTACGAAATTGGCCCTGGATACTTCAAGTTAGGGTATTCGGATGTCGCTGCTTGCACATCCGGAATTTTCTTCGTGTTTCAGACTGCGTTTGGCATTTGCGCAATTTGTGCTTCGATTTTTCGCTTCGTATAATTACGTTAAGCGCATAATTAAGTTGGTCGACTACAGGTAATAAATTATGAGCAGCAAAACCCTTTGCCAATTTTTCCGCAACCGTTTTTGGGTTTTACATTTTTTTCAGCTTCATTTGATAAAATTGAATTTGATGCGCCAGCGAAATGAAATTAGTAGCATTTTTAATATGTTTAATTTAATTTGTTGCTGTGCACAAAAACTTCACGGGAAAAAACTCATGTTAAATGCTAACATATGTTGTAGGCCCGCTTTGTCACGAGTAAAATGTCAGCAAAAATAATAAAAAAAAACAGCGGCAAAAACATCAACAGCAAAAAATATGGCTAAAAAAATGGGGTTTTACAGTTGGCGTTCATCATGCCATGAATTACGGGGCGTCAAACTGTCAAGCATGCTCCCAGTCCAGCGCTTGACAGATGAACTAAAGGCCTGGCCACACGAACTGCCTATACCACAGGCAACTGGCGTGAGGGGGCGGGTGTGTGTGTGTACGGGAAGGGGTACGGGATGTAACTCGCCTCTGACTCCATTTGTGACTATTGCTATTCATAAAAATTGCTCAATTCCGCACGCGTTTGCTATTTTTGTTGCAAGCAACGCGACCGTTGCTTTGTTTCTCTTTATCATCGTGCCACTGCGACATCGTGAATGACACCAAACAGATGTGGGCGCCACATCACAGCCAGCTACATAGACACCACTTACCATTCACAATTTACTGGGTTAGGGCATCCGTCCACCACCACCGGCTGAGATTTTCATGCAAACAAGTGATATTTTTGTTGACAACTAAAAGCCCCAACAGAGCCAGCAAACAAGTTAAGACTTTGCAGGCTTATATATACGACTAGAAGTTACCTCATAATTACATTCAATTTTTCATATTCGACTCAATATCATAAATTTAACTCATTCAGCTCAAAATAACTCCCTTAACTAGTTTATTATTATTATTTATTGATAATTTACTGAAAATTTGATAATTTGCCTGAATTTTTTCATCATCTCTTTATTAATGTTCCAATCATAACTTTAATTCATTCAGCAAGAACTCCCTTAACTTGTTATCATTATTTATTGGTAATAATACTTTAATTCATTCATCTCAAAATAAGATAAATCTGTATACCATTTTCTCCTTAAACTCTGTTAATTTTTTATTTTTATTTTATTTTATTTAAATCTTTTTTAAAACAAATTTTCCTTAGACTTTTTATAATTTTTGTCAACTTTTATAAACTACACTAAATACTCGTACGCTTGTTTTTTGTATTGCAAGTCAAATTGCAGCATATCTAACCACCTGCAATCATATTGTACCACTAATCTGCACCCAAGTCGTGTATACCCCGCCTGCCTGGAAAACAGGATAGACATATTTACGCTCAACATGCGCTGAAAAAAACGCAACGCGATGCGATGCGAAGACAACACAAAAAACAAATGTGCCTGTGAGCGGGTTAAGTGCCAACCAAACCCGCACCACACCCGCCCCCACACCCCTCTACCCATGTTTAAGCCCCCACCTAAACCGCCCCCCTAAGCCCACACTCTTGCCGCACTTCAGGCGGGCAGGCTTAAAAGGCCGTCAGTTGGTTTTTCAAATTATACCTCGAAATTATGCAATTCCATGTGTGTAACTTTTCCTAACAAAAACTTTGTTTTGCGACGCTTGCAAAAATGCACGGCCATAAATAATATTTAATTCAATTTGTAGCGTTGCAAAAATCCAACAACAATAACTCGCTATAGTTTAAGAAACATATTAAAAATAGTTGAAACTGCTAAAAATATTATGCAGCTCTTGCAATTGTTGCGCCGTGTGCCGAATAGAAAAAACGTAAAAATATTTACAGAGTAGAGTAGAGTGTTTTGTGAATGCATTTTTAAAAGCAAAACAAATATTTGTTTAAAGTAAATATATTTAACAAGACTGGAAACCGGTATTAAGCTTAAACCGACAGATTGCAGAATCGGACAATATTTCTTTATTTTATTTTTTAAATTGTTGGTTTAATTAAAATTTTTTTGCACATATTTGAAAAATTTCAATATTTCTCATATTGTGTTAGCGTTTTCTTTTCAGTAGACTGAGTAACAAAAATTCTAACAATTATTTATAAAAATTCTAATATCAATTATTTCTGACAAAAAATATATAAATATTTATAATGGCGCTGAACAAACTCGAGCTACATTTGGTGTTGGTAAAGGAAGGTTCAGGGTATCCCCTAGTCGGGAGCTCCCGACTAGAGCACTCTTACTTTTTTTAATCGAACATTTGCATTTATAACATTATTTATATGACCCTGGCGAAAAGTTTGTTCGAACATCCAAGTTTTCTGCTTTAAATTTAAGATGTAAATTGACTACCCATGTACTTTTGTAAAACATCATTTGAAACGTAATTATTGGTAATTTTGGGATGGGTGGGATGAGATGTCCAAAATATAAAAGAACAACTGGGCCATGGAAATTTTAAGTAATACCCACTAACCAGACTATTTTTAAAGATTGTTTTTGGAGATAAAGACGAAATAAAAGAGTAACATGATGCGATCGATGTGATCGACATGCGAACATCTAGTATTAGCTAAGCATATATAATATGATTTACAAATACGTAACGCTTTAGTTCACACTCACTATCATGGCCAATGAACCAAAACTAATGATGTTTTAGTCCACTTCAAATATTTTAAAAATATTTGTTTGCAGTTCAACTATAGATCTGTGCCAGTCATCTTTTCATCTGGATGTGCAGGCCACTTACAATTATAAGTATAAGATGCCGATTAGCTGGGCTTTGCTTCTTCTACAGCTACTCTCTATTACGGCTGACCTGGATGTGCCCGGAACTACAGAGAGCCCCCTTCGCATAGTCAATGGAATACCCATTGATATAAGCCTTGCACCTTGGCAGGTTTCAATACAAATATTGGGACATCACATTTGTGGCGGCAGCATTTTGAACGCTAAAATAATTATAACTGCCGCGCATTGTCTAAATCTCCCTGCAAATGAGATGCAAGTACGAGCAGGATCCACTATTAGGAGATCTGGTGGACAGCTCGTTAATGTTGCTTATGCCAAAAAGCATCCGGGGTATGTAGGCAGCCCATATTCAAACGACATCGGCCTGCTGCTACTGAAAAAGAAACTTAACTTGGGCTACAGCGCAAATAAGATTGCCCTTGCGAGCGATTCTCCCAATACTGGAACCACCGCCTTTGTTTCAGGCTGGGGTCGTTATAGAGAGCACAAAAGTGCCTTTACAATAGGCTTGCATATGGCGATAATGTCTACGATCGATCGCAAGAAATGCCAAAAGTCCAAATATGCTGAACGTAAAATGAAAATAGCTAAAGGTATGATCTGTGCTGCAAGCGATGGTAAAGATGCATGTCAGGGAGATTCTGGTGGACCGTTGGTTGCGAGTGGAAAACTTGTGGGTATTGTTTCTTGGGGCCTGGGATGTGCAAAATACGGATATCCAGGAGTTTATACCGACGTTGCTTACTACCGTGACTGGGTACTACAAAACATGAATACTATAGGAGGTTAAACAAAAATTTGACGAACAAATGGACATTTACAAAAATAATTAAGAATTTAAATATAATACTTATAATCACGACATGATTAACCCGACATTACTAAGGCAATGATGGAAGATCCACAATCGTGCAAAATTCTTTTCTGAAGCTTCCTTTTGCGTTGAATGTGTGCACTCAGCAGGGGTTTTGGAAAATTGAACCCCCAATTAGAGTGACCAAAAGTATGTATGAAGCCCATAAAAAACAACAAAATATAATTATGCTTTCCAAACTTGACGTCGTGAGCCTGTGTCGTACTATCAAAGGAGAGTCCCCTGTTTAAATTCGACGGAAATTGTCAATTTTTATATTTAATTTATTATTATTCACAGAAAAAATATCAATAATTCCAATAATAAGCAAAAAAACAGAGTAAAGGGCGAGCGAATAATAATATTAAACATTTTCTTTTGTTTTTTATTTTTTATACACTGAACCCACTGAAAATGGGTAAAAATAGTAAAAGGGTTCTGTACAGGCAGAACAAAACATCTCCAAACCGATAAAGTGTATATGTACATTATTGATCAGAATCAACATTTGAGTAGATTTAGCCGGGTCCGTGTATCTGTCCGTATGTATGAAAGCATCGATCCCAAAATCTATAGAGACATTAAAATTGAATGTAGGTCCTCCTAGTACCAACACATAACTAGATAAGTTGTCCCGTTTCCAAGCAATCCATAAGAATCTTTCATTTTATAGCTATCGCCACCCTCGCCTCCGCCCCATAGCTATAAATCAAATAAATAAATCATTAAAAGCCACAATTTAAATGCTATTATCTATTGAAGAAAATACGAATGTTCTATAGCACAATAAGAACAACTGCTGAGAATTTCATGAAGATCACTTTAGAAATACAAAAGTTATTAAAGAAAATGTGTTATTATATTGAGAAGCCACGTGGTTTTCGCAGCACACATGTCTACACACAATAGCATGGAATATGCTGTGATTTGTGCTCGTGCTGATATTTTAGTTCAGTTTTCTTCATTGAAGATGAATTCCTGAAATGCCTGTGAAGTAGGAGGCGGAAAGGAGTGGCGAGCTCAATTTTTATTATTTTGATTTTCAATTTAGTTTTATTAATGGTGTTTAATTTGGTGTTGGTGGAGGAAAGTTTAAGGTATCCCCTAATCGGGAGCTCCCGACTAGAGCACTCATACTTGTTTTAATCGAATATTTGCATTTTATGGTAGTTGGGATATGTGTTAATTTACGGATGGGTGGGCAAGGAGTGGAATTGAGACGTCCAAAATATAAAGGAACAACTCGGTCACAGCAATTTTCGGGAATACCCACTTATATCTTATATGGTAATATGTACCTAGCCGAGCACAAATATTGTGTTTGATAAAGGTTTGGAGATATTCACGATATCAAAGACTAACAGGATGTGTTCGATGTGATCGACATGCGAACATATTAATCTAGTATTATATAACCTAAGCATATATAACATGATTTACAAATACGTAACGCTTAAGTTCACTCTCACCTTACCATGGCCAATGAACCCAAACTAAAGATGTTTTAGTCCACTTCAAATATTTTAAAAATATTTGTTTGCAGTTAAACTATAGATCTGTGCAAGTCATAATTTCACCTGGATGTAAAAATCACTTACCATTATAAGTATAAGATGCCGATTAGCTGGGCCTTACTTCTTCTTCCGATACTCTCTACGACGACAGTCCTGGGCGCGCGCCGTGGTTCACAGAGTAACTTTCGCATTATCAATGGAACACCTATTTCCATAAGCGATGCACCCTGGCAGGTTTCGATTCAAGTATTGGGATATCACATTTGTGGTGGCAGCATTTTGAGCTCTAAAATAATCATAACTGCCGCGCATTGTGTGTTCTACGTCCCTGCACTTCTGCTGCAAGTGCGAGCAGGATCCAAATACTGGAAGGATGGGGGCCAGCTCATAGATGTGGCTCAAGTCAAAAGGCATGCGAATTATGGCACTGATCCCACCAAGAACGACATCGCCCTTTTGCGACTAAGCCAGAGACTTTACTTTACCCGCAATATTGATAGAATTCGACTTGCAAAACAAACCCCTGAGAGTGGAGAAAAAGCCTCTGTTTCAGGCTGGGGTCAAAAAAAAGAGAATGCAACTGTCGGTTCAAGGGATTTGCATATGGCTTCGCTACGTATAATCGATCGCAAGTCCTGTCAAGCGTCCAACTATGCTAAGCTTCGTAAGATAGTTACTGAAGGTATGATCTGTGCTGAAAGCGGTGATAGAGATGCATGTCAAGGCGATTCTGGTGGACCGTTGGTTGTGGACAATCAACTTGTGGGTATTGTTTCTTGGGGCATTGGATGTGCAAGAAAAGGACATCCAGGAGTTTATACCGATATCGCTTACTACCGAAAGTGGATATTTAAGTACGTGAGAAGACAGGAGTAAATTTCACGAGAATATGGAAATTAAAGAAAATAATTCATTCTTGAAATAAAATAGTAAAAAACCTTTCATCACGGCTTTTTTAATTTATAGACAGATAATTTTCCAGCTCCCCAAAGGGTATATCTATAAAAAATGCTATAGGTCCGTCAATATGTTGCCCAAACCGGCTTTGTTAAAGAGCTACTATACAAAATATGTGACAAAAGTTACATTTTTGCAGATATTTTGGGGTAAATGAATGTTTTTCTACCCAGAACCTATTAAAACTATAAACGTAAATTTTTCAGCGTAGGTCCTCCCAGCGCCCGCGCAGTACGAGTTTATTTCTGATAATTATGCAGCCCGCAATTTCTATAATAGTATATACAGATGAATTATCTTTCATTTAATAGCTATCCCCACACCCCTTCTAGGCCCCCCCCCCTAGACCAATCTTATAGCTATACATCGAGTAAATGAATCATTTGGAACTACCCACCAATTTAAGTAATTGTCTGGGAATATACGAATTTTCTATAGCACAATAAGAACTACTGCTGAAAATTTCATCAAGATCAGTTAAGAAACGGAAAAGTTATTATGGAAATTGTGTAGTTATATTACAAATTACAAGCATTTTCGTTTTATTAAATGCTCTAATTGCGGTTATATGTGGTGGCGAGTTCGACTCTGTAAGAAATAACTTAATATTTGATTTTTTATATTAATGCTAAGGCAAAAACGTAGCGTGATCTGCATTTCATATTGCTAAAACTGGATCCAGGGTATCCCACAGTCGGGAACTCCCGACTAGTGGGCCCTTGTTTTTCTTAAGAAATAATAAATTGCCCACATATGTTACAAGTTACTCTTAACGCTACATTACATTTAAAATACCCTTAGCATGGCCGTAACTAAAGATGTTTTAATGGGATCTTAAACAATATTACTGCTTCCGAGTGCGCCGGAAGACAGATTTGCACTCTACGAAACTTACCAGCAATAAGGTTTCAATAAGCTCTCACAAAAAGTGTCAAGCTCTTAGGGCTCTGACTAGAAGTATAGACCAGGAAATAGAAAACACAAAATGGTGATCAGCTACCTATTTCTGCTGCTTCTGTTACACCGCACGATGACTGTCTTGGGCGCGAATCGCATTGTGAATGGATATTCCATCGACATACGGGAAGCACCTTGGCAGGTATCGATACAGAAAAATGGGGTTCACTTTTGTGGTGGCTCAATTATGAGCAGTAAGGTAATCGTAACTGCTGCGCATTGTTTGAAGAACAAGGAATCAAGAATATTAAGTGTACGAGCTGGATCTAGGTATTGGAAAAATGGTGGCCAGGTTGTGGAGGTAGCGGAAATAAAGATTCATAATGCCTATCATGCCAAAAAACATCTTCATGACATTGCTCTTATGCGATTGGCCAAGCCGATAAGACTTGGAAGCAATGCACAGAAGATTTCTTTTGCCTCGAGTGTACCAAGTGATGGAGCAAAAGCCTTTGTTTCAGGTTGGGGTTTTCTCGAGGCGAAAACAACAAAGCGCCCGTCGATCCTGCAAGAGGTGAATCTTCGTATAATGAATTATAGAAAATGCCAAAAGACCAACTATGGAAAGAATGGTTATTTAATCAGCAGGCAAATGATTTGTGCCGTTCTACATACCAACGACGCATGTCAGGGTGATTCTGGTGGCCCATTGGTCTCCAGAAATCAACTTGTTGGTATTGTCTCTTGGGGTAAGGGATGTGCCTCAAAAGGATATCCAGGCGTGTACACGAATGTTGCATATTATAACAGTTGGTTAAAGTCCGAAATTCAAAAACTGGATATTAAGGATAACGATAACACATCACCTAATTGTTAAAAATATAAAAATAAAAAATTTAGCGATTTATTAAAATACTTGTGTGCGTGTATGTATGCAGATCTCAGGCTGGTACATAACTGACACAAATGCAAGCAATTTAAAACAAATAAACATATAATATCAAAGCGAGTTACGGCTTGTCGCTGATTGGACGCAAGTACTCATTGGGTTCGGTCGCAACAGAAAATCTGTCAACCACTTTCAGATCAACTTGAAGTCTCTATCGATTGTATGCTTTGTGATGCAATGGCAATGGCTATTCTATTTTTGTGTGTGCAAGTGCGTGTATGTATGCACATGTTTCTTAAACGATCTCAATGAAATTTCCAGCAGAAGATTTTATTGTACTATAGATTATTAGCACATTTTCAAAAATAGAACAGCATTCAAATGGGGGCGTAAACTAATTGGTAATTCATATTTTTGATATAGATATGTATCGATTGCTTGGCAACGGGGAAAGCTCTCGATTATCCGAAACCAACTAAGATCGACGCATCCATACATGGTCAGGTCGAGAGATATCACAGCACATTAGCGGAAGTCGCGCGTTGCATGAAATTCAGTAAAGAAATAAGTGAAACTGGCGAACTTATTCTGCTTCCAACGATAGAGTACAATAGAACTATTCCTTCAGTCACAAAGTGGACACAATCGAGATAATCCTCACGAGTTCAATAGAAATCGGACTACAGGTTAAATAAAGATTTAAAACACCTCCTAAAAAAAAATCATTATACGCATAGAAGACATTGTGGGTGCAGATTGAATCGACTAGTTCTTATAAAAGAGCGAATACGGTTACCTGGAACACACTTAGAACATTGACATTGCACGAGCCTAAGAAGAGTCTAGACCTATTCAACCAGGACGGCATTGGAAAAATGCTGACTACAGTACTTGGATACATCGACACATTAATATCAATATTAAAATTTAATCAGAGATATGCCCGCATCATAAAGCTACTGGGAATAGCTTAAAAACTAAAAGCAGGGGCTCTCGATTTAGATGATTGGGTTCAAATCAAGTTTAGGCAAACACACCTAAATAGTCAAACAGAGGTAAATAGAAAGTTACATTCAAGTGTCAACCAACTAACATAGACTCCAAATTCAATACACAAAACTGACGGAACTGATACAGATCACGGGACTGATACAGGCACTCCCGACTAGAGCACTCGTACTTGTTTTTCTTGAAAAATAATTAGTCTGTTGTAAATTACTCTTAACGCTATATTACAGCTAAAATACCCTTACCGTAGCCGTAACTAAAGAGGTTTTAAATTGCTTATAGGATCTTAAACAATATTAGTTGTTCAAAGTGCGCCGGAAGATATATTTGGAATCCACGAGAGTGTCACAAAAGGAGTCAAACTCTTAAGGCTTAGACTGGGAGTATAGACCAGAAAAATAGAAAGCACAAAATGAGGATCAGCTACCTATTTCTGCTGCTTCTGTTATTCTCCACGATGACTGTCTTGGACGCGAATCGCATTGTGAATGGAGTACCCATCGACATACGGGAAGCACCTTGGCAGGTATCGATACAAAAATATGGGTTTCACTTTTGTGGTGGCTCAATTTTGAGCAGTCAAATAATCGTAACTGCTGCGCATTGTTTGATAAACATGGATGCAAAAACTTTAAGTATACGAGCTGGATCTCGGTTTTGGAAAAATGGTGGCCAGGTTATGAAGGTAGCGAAAATAAAGGCTCATGATGGATTTTCACCGAAGAAATATCTTAATGACATTGCACTTATGCGATTGGCAAGACCGCTAAAGCTTGGACCCCTTGCGCAGAAGATTGAGCTTCCTACAAGCGTTCCAAGTGATGGATCTGGAGCCTCTGTTTCAGGTTGGGGTCTTCTCAAAGCGGAATCAAGAGAGCGTCCAACGATCCTGCAAGCAGTGAAGCTTCGTATAATGGATTACAGAAAATGCCAAAAGACCAAGTATGGACAAAATGGTTATTTAATCAGCAGGCAAATGATCTGTGCCAGCTTAAATTCCAACGACGCATGCCAGGGTGATTCTGGTGGACCCTTGGTCTCCAGAAAGCGACTTGTTGGTATTGTATCTTGGGGTAAAGGATGTGCCTCATTGGGCTTTCCAGGAGTATACACCAATGTTGCATATTATTTAAAGTGGATAAGCACAGAAATTAAAAAACTGACCAACTGTTAAAAAAAAGATCACGTGCTTAAAGTATAGCAATAAAAGTTTTGTGATTTAGTGGAATACCTATGTTAATCCCAAAAGTATTTTCGATTCATGGTTCGAGCCGCATTTGAACCGGTTTAGCTGAAAACAGATTCGCATCCAAAGCTTATAGCATTTTGAAAAAAGACAAGTCAGAGCGCTTTATTCGGAAGCCCGTCGACTAGTTGTCGTTGTAAGCCTTTCAGCTTCCGTTGAAAGCAACCTCGAATTATGGTCGAAAAACAGGATAACAATATTTATTGTTTGTTGTTTGTGGGGCTTAACATTTGCACAAAATCGTTTATTTTCACTTTAATGAATTTTGGGAATAAAAACAAAACATTCAGCATACTTTGAACGCAATAAAAGAAAAATGTTTTAGTTCGGTCGGGGTAAAGTTGTATTGACACAAGTTACTGGAAAATCAAATATTGTTCTAAATTATGTTAATTGTCAACGACGCGTGTCACATTTACCGTGCCAATAATGTAAGTAAGACCGATAAGCCCAAGCAATGTTGGCAATGAAAGATGAACTGTTAACCACCAGAAAAAAAGAAAGGCCCATAAAAGCATTGAGTTTTGGACTCATTTTGAACAGTGGACAAAATCTTCTTCAACAGCGGGTTCTCGAGGAACCCATGGAAACCACGCATTGAGAATGGAAAGCCCATCGACATTCAAAACACAAAGAACACAAATGTGTTTGTTCAATTTACATCCAGGATATTATCATTACTGCTGGCCATTTTAATATTGCACTATTATAGATGCAAGCTAGATAATCCTCTGGTGGTCAGCGCATTTCACTAAGGAATGTCAGTTGGCCTGAATATGTTGGGACCTATTCGAATAATATTGCTGTTCTGTAACTAGATCGACTGCTCACTCTTGAACCCTTGGTGCAGACGATTCCCCTGCCAAGAAAAGTCCAATAAATGGAGCCGATGCCTTTGTGTCAAGCTGGGGTTAACTCAATGAGAGAAGTCCCGATATTCCAACAATGCTGCCTAAAAAACTCGATCGGCCGCTCTGTAAATTATATTTACGGAGAATCACTAAGGATCTGATAAGTCCTGCGGGTCAGGAGAAGTACTTATGCCAAAAAGATTTTGGTGGACCTCTGCTAACCAATAATCAACTTGTTGGCATCGTTTCTTACGGTCAAGGATGCGGTGGACACAGATATAGACATAACTGGATACTCAACACAATTGATAACTTATCGGATTTACCGCTACTGTACAGCTTATATATATACTATATATATCGTTCTTCACAAAATTAAAAAAAACCTCATTTTGAAAGTAATAAACTTGCAAATTTTGATCTGAGGAGGCCTAGTTAATATATAATTTGTATTTCAAGCATATATATGCACGATAAAAAACGAGTCAAAATATTTAAATCTCAATCTTGAATCTAAGGCAATGTCTTGTTTTCCAAAGTTAAAAATAAGCATGCCGTTTGGACTGCCGTACCAAATGAATAAGCCGGATTCAATGATTGGCAGGCTGTTGTTGAATCGCTACCTCTTTGCCACCTGGCTGTGTTACCTGACCGAGTACCAACTGCTGGCGATTTTCTTGCTTTACCAGCGCTTCGATATAGCCCATCCAATTGAATGCCTGTCCGAAATGTTTGACTGGATTGTATTTTCGTTCTATACGATGACTCGAATGCAACTGCTGGGCGTTCATGTGGCCATATATGGGCTGCTGCTGTGCCGCATGCACGAACGTCTGCCGGCTTGCCACAGTTCGCGGCAGGTGCGAATGAGACAGGAGCTGCCAATTAAGCTCTGTCTGCTAGCCGTGCTCATTAGCTTGGGCTACTGCAGCTGCTGGCTGTATTTGAAATATATGGATGAGCTGAACGTCGATGTGGATGTGAGCTACACTGGCCATTTTCTGCTGATGAATGGCGCCTTCTGTGGCCTCGCCTACTTCCTGAGCGAGCATTCGAAATTCAACAGCGAGGTGTGGCCGCTGCCCATGGTGCGCATGAACCATGCCACAACGGATTGGCTGAGCTGGCAACACTTTGAGTTTCGCTCAACAATGCCACGAATTATGCTCTATTCGATCATCTTTTCCGCCATCTACTGGCCAAACATGAACGGAGACAGGGAGGCCAGCTGGCAGCTATTTCGCCTGTCCAACTGCCTGACCACGCTGATCACCCTCAAGCTGTATGCCATCAAGCGTGTCTTCGGCATGGTCATGCATTGCGAGCTGCCGCTGACTGTGCAGCAGAAGCAGGATCGGCGACTGCCGCTGGTCCTGGCGCTCAGCCTCAACTGCCAGCTGTACGGCTTCCAGATGCAGGCAGCCCGAGACTTCTATATGCTCGTGTCCAGCTCCAACGGCGAACAATGCGAACTATTTCAGCTGCAGGGCAATTTACGCCGACTGCCCAAAAACTGGCAAGCGCTGCGCGATGTGCTGCTGGACAGGATTACGTTGTTTACATTAAAGCTGAAGAAGTGCCTGGAACTCCCGAAGCCGCAATGTGAGCAGGCGGCTAAGTCTGCCTTTGCGGGCTTGCGTCCGCTTGTGGCAAGCACGAAACCGTCAAGATATTGGAGTCGCCGCTGCGGCGATCGGCAGCCACCCTGCCAGCCCCTCTTTAAATCCTTGCTGGTCGGTCCGATGCGTCTGCTGTGCCAACTGCGCTACAAACTGCAGAGCTGCCAGCTGAAAGAAAAGCTAACTTGCTATTGCAAATGCAGACTGCCCTTTCAGGTTAAGCGGCCCATTGAACCGAAGCAACTGGAGCACGAGCTGTGCCTTGGCCGACCACTTATCTGGCTAATACCCGGGCTCGTAGCCATCTGTGTGCGCTCGCTGGAGGAGGATAAGCATGGCTCGTTGCATCAGGATCTGGAGCCGATCTTTCAGTCGCTTGTTGACCTGGATAGGCAGATCTGTTTGGTCAGCGAGCTGCTGCTAAGGCAGCAACAGGAACCATGCCTGACCCTCGATATGATCTCGCAGTCAACGACGCGCGCTCTAAATAGCATGATCTTCAACTTTCACAGCTATCTGGATTATCTTGTGAAGGATCTGGAACTACTAAGGGTACTGCGGGAGCGCGCATAAGAACATATTGTGCTTGAAATTATTTTCAAATTGTTATTTTAATTGTTGAATATTAAAAAAGAATTAAATATTTAAATAAAAATATAAATATCTTGTTTACAAAAAGCAAAAATTGCTTGCGAGTAAAGTTAAATATTTAAAATAATCCTGGTAAAACTTGATGAAAGCTTAAATAAGAAGAATCTGACTCAAGTTTCTTCCAGCCAGCTGTTTTAATCAGAGCTATGGAGCTCAAGGCCTGTACGTTTTCCATCAATCAGGAGTCAAGCAATTACACACAATCAAACGTCTCACCAAAGCACTTATGGTTCCTGGAAATCTCTTAAAATTTTTGTATGTTCGTTAACTTCTCTTTAGAGAGATCTAGATATCCGTTACGTTGTTTTCTATTTTCAACTACAGTCAGCTCCAAATTGAAACACCAGTCATATCATAATACAACAACAACAAAAAACTAGTGAGAACATATATCAAAATGGATACACCGAGCTATATGAAACTCAGAAGTCGTGTTGTTCCATTGAGTCCAGTTAAAAAGACGATTCGCAAACGCAGAAACAGCTTAGATCTTATTCCCATGCAAGCAAATAAAAAACTTAAAATTAGTCTGGGAAGCTTGGAAATGGATTCATCTGAAGCAAGTCGTTCGGATGATGAAAATGATGAGGGTGTGATTTTCATTTCCAATTCACGCGATCCCTTAGAATATATTGACTTGACTGAGCAATATTAAAGTAAGTTGCCTTACGAACTAGTTCCAGAACTGACCTATTCATTCATGTTTCACAGTGTTCCGGTTTTATTTTTCGATTTTATGTTATAAGAAATTTGCTTTGCTTGTTCAAGTTATTATATTTTTTTTTTAATTATGCTGTTATATACTTACAAACTAAGTGAACCAATATAGGAAGAACTTTGATCCTTGTTGAGGTTATGAGGAGCACATCACGCGAGAGAGTAAAGAGCATATAGATATTGAATGTTACCCACGAAATCAAGCCGAAAGCTATGCAAAAGAAGAAAGTGGCATTGGAAAGTGGAGAAGTTAAAAATAAAGCAGGGATCATGGGGAATTTTCAACTTCAATAAAATAATCAAATTGAAATATAGTTACAAAAATTCGTCTGTTTTAACGCTATTTGCCAATTATTCCAGCCTGATCCTATCAGATCTCCCAATTTCACGAACCGAAACGAGAACAAAGCGGCTTAGACCGAAACGCCGATATTCCGGATTTTATTTACTATATTCCGAATTTTGAACAATTTTGACTGTTTATAGAATAGCCACACACAATTCCAATTTGAAAATATGGCATGAACTTTATTCTTTATACCCTGAACCCATTCAAAATATATAGGGTAGAAATAATAAGGGTAACAGGCAGAAGGAAGCATCTCCTATAGGAGATAGGGTACATATATACTTGGTCAGCGTCAATAGCCGAGTTGATCTTGCCAAATCCGTCGATCTTAGAACCTTAGAGCGAGAGAAAGTTGTAACATAGGTCCTCTTAGTGCCCGCCCAGTGCGAGTTTTTGATAACCGTTAATCGATACTTGCTATCGATAAAAACTGATATCGTAATCATGGTTTTTGAGTAAATCTCTTTGGTTTTAGAGCTAGAGTCACCAAGCTGGACATAAAGCTTCAAGAATAGTATTTACATATTAAGTAACTTTCATTTTATAGGCACCGCTACCAGAAGGTCCAGGGTATTCCCAAATCGGGCACTCTCGATCAAAGCACCTTTTACTTCTTATAGCAATATTCAAAATTTAATAAAAATGCTCTTATTTACATCAAATTAAGCCCTAGTCCCCGAAATGAACTTTAAGTCAAGACATTGGGTTCGCACCGTGAACCGAACCACCGCAGAAGTTTGTTGGGCTGCTCACAGCCATAGGCTAAGCCACTTTATACAGTCTTCTGTCCCTCGTTGATGCCACTTAGCGGCGAGTGCATAAATTTAAGGCAGTCGCTTTGTCAGCAGTGTCCACCTTTGCCACATATGCAACAAGTTTATGCAGCTGCACGCAAGTTGACGTTTTGGCTGGGTCTCATAAATTTCATCTGGCAGCTCCTAAGGCCCGCCCCGACAGATAGAAAGTGGAAAACACAAAACGCTGCCACAAGCCACAAACATGCTGTGTCCAAAAAGGAAAAAAAAACAGAAAACGACCAACCGTTTGGTGGCTGGACATTGGTGCGTCGGTGCGGCTGGGGGTTGGGAGCGGGGCGTTGCAACTTCTAAGCACGTGTCAAGTGTGGGCCAAACTTTTAATTTGCACAACGTCCCAGGCTGGGCAGCTAGGCAGCCGGGCAGCCGGCCCAGAGCCTGACTGACGCTGAGTGACTGTCAGGCTTGTTAGTCCCTTCATAGCCCGGGGTGCGCCTGGCTGTCTGACAATGTCATCAGTTGCAGCTGACGCAGCAGCAGCAGCAGAAGCAGCAACAACAACAATGACGCCGCGTCCAACACTACCCAATCCCACTGCCACTGCCGGCGGCAACACGCAGTAGCCGTAGCAGTAACAGTAACTGAAGGAGGGCCACTTGCAGCTGCAGTTGCTCATGTCCTTTTTTTGTGTGCGTGCCGAATGTGTCATCCGACCAGGATACATGGGGTACACACTTTGGAGTATTTAGCTTGTAACAGAGAGAGCAATTGGTGTTTTAAGCTATACATTTTCAGGTCAACAATTCAATAAGGTAATTGATAATTTATCAATATCTTTAATATATGTACATTTAAATATAAATATATATTTTGTAGAAGACCAAACTGTTTGAAGGATAGCCGCTCTTAGGTGGAGTGTAAAGTTAAGAATATCACAAAAATTGTATAAGAATAATATTCTTATAAATAATGTATATTATATATTATATACTTTTATGATATATTAATAAGTATACGAAACAAAATCCAAGTTCCAAGCACAAATAAGTTTAATCTCAACATACAACTCTTCTTAAGCAACATGCACTTTATATATTATTAAATAAATTGCAATAATATTGGTAATTTATTAAAAAATAAATTAGCTATAATAAATATTTCATATAAACTTCAATAAAATTTATAAATATTTCTTATTATCAAATATGAATATTTGTCATTTGTCATTAAACACAATTAAACTAGTTGAAAATTTTAGTTGAATATTATTAATATTGTAACTAAATTGTCTAAATTGTATTATAACTATGTAAAAAAATTTATTATATAATATTTAAAATAATCACGATCATATTAACTATTTTCCAGCTTAAATTTATTAACATTTTCTTCAATTAATTCAAAAATAAGCTCGCGAGTCGCAGCAAAATGTTAACAGCACGTTTAAAGCTTAAATTGGTTGAGGGTAAACATAAGTCGCGTCCAGACAAGCTTAACGCGTTGCAGGGCAGCGGGTGTCCATGACAAGTGGTGTGCGAGTGTGTGCGTGTGCGAGTGTGTGTGCGCCTCAAAAGCTGATAAAGCGACGCTCAGCGCTCACTCGGACGCTGTCAGTTAGCCAGGCCTGGCGAGTCAAGCAGTCAGCCAGTCAAGCAGTCAGCCAGTCAATCAGTCAGCCAGTCAATCAGCCAGTCAGTCAGTCAGCCAGTCAGTCAGCCAGTCAGTCAGTCAGTCAGTGTGTAAGTTGGTGGGTGTATGCGTTCATTTACAGTTGCCTTTGCACCACCCACAATTCCAGCGCCTACTCATGCGTCATTTGTGCCGCTTGGTGTTAAATCCGTTTGGATTTTTGTTTTGTTGATTGCCGCACGCCTCAATGACATTTCATTTATTAAGTGGCGCTGCCTCCGTTTCTTGTTTATTTTTCTTTTATTTTTTTTTTCCTGCAACTCAGCGGGGCCAGCAATTAACTATGCAATACGCTGACGTCACCAGCAACTGCAACTCCAACTCCAATTCCAATCCCGGTCTCGCCAGCTCGAAAATGCCGCATCATGTTGCCGCTGAATGAGGCCTTTGATTTGTTTTGCAAGTGTGTTGTTGCTATATCCGCTACAAAGGAATTTGCATTTCAAATGAATTACAACGCCCCGGAGGAATATCAAACCAACAAAAAAAAAAAAACAAAAAAGGAAACCAAAAAAAGTATTGTGTACAGGTCCTGCGCCTGCTGAAATATAAATGTTAATCCAGGCAGCGTCAATTGCAAAACGTTCAGAGCGCTGTTGACAGCATCAGCCCAGGACAACACCACCAGGGCCACACAATCCGATGAGCGCCCCATTGGCCAGGGCCTGGGCAGTGTGTCAACGGCTTTTTAATTGATTTTCATGGGCTGCAGTTTTTGATTGTGCTGATTGACGCATCAAATGAAGTGACTTCAGTCCGGGTCCTCAATCTGCGCCTGGTCCCGGTCCTGGTCTTCGCCCTGGTCCTCGCCCTGGACCTGGCCCTGGCCCTGTTGCCATATCAGTAACGACGCAAACAACAGTTCCCCCACACACTCACACACAGCAGACAGACATGAAGCCAGCAGTAATTAAATTTGTCAGTCAGACAAAATGTTGCAGCAGCGCCCAAAGAAGTGGCAAAGTGCACAACGCGTCGTATGCGTGATGCGATTTCATGCGATGCCAGGCTTGTGCGTGCGCCTGTGTATGTGCCTGTGTGTGTGTGTGTGTCTGTGTGTGTGCGCGTGGCAAACAATTGGATGCTAACAGAGCTGGATAAGTAAGCAGGTTATAAGTGCAAGCTAAAAGCATGTCGGACTATGATATGCGCGCACTTATTGCATACTTTTAGAGGTTAAATGAATAAATATCTGTTTCTATAATATGTTGTTAATGATTCTAATGCCTGCTTAATGAAAATTACATTATTTTCCTACATTTAATTTTCAAAATACACATTCAACGTACCTGATGCCATATTCATACTGTTTTCTTCTGATTATTTTTTAAATCAAACTTTATATATTAAGGTAAAAAATTATTTGTATATTTTTAAAATGTTGTTATATTTTAATTCAGCTGTTATTATTTTTAGCAAATAGTTTCAAATAGTAAAAAATTAAATTTATTGTCCAACATTTTTCACTATTTTCTTTCATATTTAATTTTAAAATGCAAATTATTTTTTTATTAATTACAAGTGTTAAATTATTGACTTGGGTAATAAATAAAAAAAGTTGTTTTTCCAAAAGAATAAAAAAGAAAAGAGGAAAATTTCGGACAACAAAAAGTACGAGTATTATTATTGACTTGTACTTTTTACATATAAGAAAAATATTTAAAAATTGTACCTAACTATATAAAAATTTTCATCAAATGAATAATGAAAAATTATAAAGAATTTGCTTACAAAAATGTAATTTTTATAGTTAACGATCTTCAAAGACATCGTTGTTACAAACGCGTCGATAATAAATAATGAATTTCTAGTTGATCTTAACTTTAATTAATTATTACAAAAATACATAAAATTGAAAATCACTTATTTTGAAGTTTGTGAAAAATAAAATTTGTTGAATATACCCCAACAGCCTGTTGGCCCAGGCATTCGAAGTATGTAAGTACAAGGGGCAGTAAGAACTGAATACTGGGCTAGCAGATTGTTGTTGGCAGTGAAGCCTGCTGCTTGTTGTTGTTATTGCATTTTAATTATTGCATTCGGCATTTTTTGCGTCCTTCCTGTTGTTGAATCAACTGTAAATTAATATGGATACAACCAGACACCCCGAAAAATACACACGCACACACACAGATACAAACAGGAGTCGCTAATGAGCCGCTTTTTAACTTTGACTTCCACTTGGCTCGAATTTGGTTTATCCCAAGGAGGGCCGCACACAAACAAGCAGCCGCTCGCTGGAGATAGTAAAGGAGGCCACGCGACCAAATATTGCACAATGCTGAAAACCAAAAATTTGAAATCTGAGAAGCAATTTAAAAATCATTAGAAAAACACATTAAGCGTAAAAAATTAATGAGCAGGTTGAGTCAACAACGTGAAGGCAGCCAGAGCGCCAGGATATCAGGACATGCTACGAAATAATACCACCAGTTGGGCATTTCCTGAACGTCTGTGTGTGTGTGTGTGTTTGTGTGTGTGTGGGTGTTTATGTGTGTATGCCACAGCTGCAGTGCGGCCGTGCTGCAACGGAGCGGAGCGTCTTAGACGTCGGCTTCTGTATCCTGGCTGAGGTAAATAGAAAAAAGATAGCGGCAGAAAAGGAAATTTCTAATAAAGCTGCACCCATGGCAGGATGACGACTTCGAGGGAGACGGCGTTGTGTTTCAGGCACGGTAATAAGCTCCGTGTGGATAGGTCCAAGCGGAACGCAGGGGCGTCACATACACGAATTATTGAGGGGGCTGAATGTAACTGGCATTCGCATGAATTAAAGATATTAAGTTCTCAAATAAAACAGGCAAAAAAAAATTTAAAAAAATAAAAACAAATTGTGGGAGGTCATAAGTCGATAATATATATAATAAAACAAATTATAGAAGCAACAACATTTTAATTTAAAAGTATGTTTAAATATATTTAAAAAAAATAAAACAAGGGAGAGTGCTGTAGTTGAGAGTGCCCGACTAGGGGATACCCAGGACCTTCTTCTCCCAACACTAGACGCAACTCGCGCTAAAAGGGAGGCGCTGGCGGCGGTAGCTTCATATAAAATGAAAGATGCCCGATCTGTATATACTATTTTAGGAGCTACATAGGAAGTTTGGTGATTCTAGCTCTAAAACCAAAGAGATTTTCTCAGAAAACAGGACATTGATATCGATTTTTATCGATTGCTTGAAAACGGGGAAAGTTATCGATTTTGGGTTATCTATAACTAACGGGCACTAGGATTACGTTCAAAATTTCAAGTCTCCAGTTTATATAGGTTCTGAAATCGATGCGTTCATTCAGACGGATAGACGCGCGGACACCCGGACGGACAGACAGACGGGCATGACTAGATCGATTTGATGCTGATCGATTTAATGCTGACCAAGAATATATATCCCTTATGGGGTCGGAGATGCTTCCTTCTGCCTTTTATATACATTGGCACAAGACTATTATATCCTTTTTACCCATTTTCAATGGGTTCAGGGTATAAAAAACAACCAGGAAATAAGTTAAAAATAGGTAACTAATCAAAAAGAAATTATAATATAAAAACTTTTAAATTATAAAAAAAAAAGTAGTAACAATAACATATTTAATAATATAATATTTAAAAATATGTTTATCGTTATTATTATTTAATTATTATTATTATAGGAAAAATGTTTAAAATAAATGACAAATGAAAAAGGAAAAAAAAATTATTATAAAAAAATTTTAAAATTAAAAAAGGAACAAAAAAAAGAAATATTAATAAAAAAAAAGATTTAAAGCGGCTTATGTATATCACGTATTTTTTTAGTTAATTTCGAGTAATATCAGCAGCAGCATCATTAGTTTTAAAAAGTTTAACAGCCAGTTAGCCGAGTCGATGCTGAACCCCGCCCAGCTGCGCCGCTGGGCGCAGATTGCGGCCCTGTCGGTCGCTTGCCAATGTCTACAATGGCGTTTACTTTGCCTAACAACATTTAGTTAGCCAACAAAAGCCAGGCACACACACCGACACTCACACATAGGCACACACCCAACCAAGGGCAACAGGCAACAGTCTGCGGATGAGCCGCCGCCTGCGCCTTGACTTGAATAAACTTCTCTGGAGAGACGTCTGTAGTTCTAATCTAACAACTCATTTGGCACTCATGAGTAGGTCAGGCCGTTAAGGCCCGGACTCGCACATATATCCTGGCGACATATCCTGACGCTGCGAGCCTTTAAACTGGCCGCTGATTCGTAATGCTTGTCACGTTTTGTCGAGCGTTGAAAAGTCAAACCAGCACGAAGTTGGTTCTCGAGTTGTTGCAGCAGGGGCAGGAGGCAGGGGGCAGCGACTGTTGGCAGGGGTTGGGGGGCAGGTAGCTGGCAGCTACAAGTTTTTGTGCTTTTGTGCGTGCCTAACCGGATGTGCCTAGGATGTGCGTCTTTGTCGTAATTACCTTCAAGTTGGCAGCGTTGACTCCGGTTGCCACATTTGATGCCGCTCGCCGGGCGCGGGCAAATCTCAGACGTCGACACACGCCGTGATTACAGCCAGCGACAACAGGTGTGCGTGTGTGTGTGTGTGTGGGTGTGTGCGTTTGTATCTGCAGCGGCTACTAATTGCCGCTAAGTGCCAAGCGAAATGCTTGGCATTGCCATTTTGATACTCGGCATTTTGTCATAAATAATAAAACCGGGTGGCGACAATTTAAAGGGCTAACTGAGCGCAGCGGCCGCGTGCACCGCATGGTCAAAGTGCTTTTGGTCAGTTGACCACTTAAGCACAATGCTTTTGCATTGTAACTGGGCACACGCCCATTTTGGTTTATATTCGGCGGCCCCTGTGCACGTTTTCCACCTGCCTGGTCCCTCTGTGTATGTGAGTGTGTGCAGCAGCGGGCCTGGCCGTAGTCCATTGCCATGTGGACCATGTGGACTAGCTGAAATGCAGCTAACGAACCGCAATTGCGGTCACATTTCATGAGAGCGCGCACGTCGCCCTCTGGGCACACACACACACACAGTCACACACACACACACCGGCTGATTCAATTTGCAGGCTGCGACAGGCTTTTAGTGCAGCTCAGCACACAGTCCAACCTTCACCCACAGGGCAAGAGCACCACCAGCACCACCAGCAGCAGCAGCAGCACCTGCAGCTGCCACCACAACGTATCTCCTGTCAAAATTGGACCAAAACTCACCGACTGTCTGCTCGACTGTGGATATCATCAAAATTAGCTCGTTTGGCGGCTGCAAAGGGTTTGTGCCACACACACACACACACGCACACACATGTTTGTGGCCCATATACATACGGGCTTCCACATGCCCCATAGAAAACTAGCCACAACAACAACTACGCCACGCTACAAAAAACAACCTTCATATAGCAACAGGTTTTTGACAGGCCAATTAGCTAGACTCGATATTTTACCAATGCTCATCCGCTATATATAGGTACATATATATAATACGTCTAGCTGCATCCATTTGAGCAATAAACAACAACAATTTGGAGCACTCGCTAAATCAGCATTATTTAAAAAGCCCCTAGAAAAACTTTATTTTTTTCCTCATGTGTCAATTAACTTGAAATATTTGATTTGCTTGCTTTTCGTTTAATTTTGTAGTCTATTGTGTAATACAAGTTTTGACAAATTGCCGTGCGCATTAATATTAATACTGTTTTCTTTTTTTAAGCCTGCATCAATAACAGTTTAAGCGAAAGCTGTAAAATAAAAATATAGCTCGTAAAATCGTATTTCGAATATGCAAGTTTTTGCTGCACTGTTTTTAATGTTTATTTGCCTTTCCCTTATGCAATATTTAATTTTTAACCAAAATCTTTTTAGTTGTTCAGCTTAAATATAATCCTTATTGCAACGCAGCTCGCAATATGGTATTTAAGAACTACAATTCTCTTGCTTAAAGCTCTCTTAATGCTCTTAAAACTTAGATTTAGATTATCTTACCAAATAGTCAAGTTTTAGTGACAATTTTAGTGCTAAAGTTTAAGATTGATAATTTTTGAAATATTTATTTATTACACATATTCGAAATAGGGAGCAGCTTGACAGTAAAGCTCATTCAAGTACTTTCTTATGGCCTCCCAGTGACTCAACACATGGCTTATAAATCACTGTAAGCTTAAACTCGTTGGGAATTTTAACGACGCTTAACAGTAAATCGACACAGCTGACAAAATTACATTTTAAAATTATAATTATTTTGCTTGAAGCTTGTTTAAAGCTTTCAATGCTATTTTAAACATTTATCTTATTTAATAGTCAAGTTTAAACAACCTTTTTTAGTTCTAAAGTTAAAAGATGGATAATTTATTTAATAATTTATTTACCTATTACAAATAAGTGACATAGCGCGCATGTTATCTGAATATCTAATTCAAGTAATTGCTAATACTCTGCCTATTATATTTTGCAACCACTCAAGCCACGCCTTATCAGCCACTAGAAGATTAAACTGATTGGGAATTTTAACAGAGCAAGCGAAGCCTAACAGCAAAGCGCTTTTTGAGTTAATATTTATATTATCTTAGTAAATAATCTAGTTTAATAGACCTTTTAAAGTGTTGAAAATCAAGATTGGCTATATATTAACACATTTATTTGATAAACATAAACGCGAGCAGGCTGGTCAAGTTTTGCATCCACTCAATATCAGTCCGTGGAAGTTTAAACACATTGCGAATTTTAACGCAGCAAACAAAGCTTAACAGCAAAGCGTGACAAACAGATTTAATTTTCTGTGCATCTAGGACCTACAAGCTTTAAACTTAATGTATTTAGTTACCCTATCCAAATACAATATGAAACCGTCTTTTCCGAAACTTGTGCGACAGTGTAAACAGCTTGAGTGGCTGCTTGTTTACGGACTCGTTACACAAAATGTAATGCCCAATTTAGCCATGGTAAAAAAGTGTAGCAATAAGATGCCCGAAAACTAGTTGCAATATTAAACATTAATGTCAAAGCTGCCAACAATAATTATGCAAATTTCATGTGTGTTTGTGTGTGTGCGGGGTGTAGGAGCGTAGCCAAGACACGAACCCTGACAGCAGTGACACTTACAGTCAGGCAATTTGCAGGCTGCGTCTGCTACGTGCAAAAGGAAGTCGCACCTTGCATACGAACCACCGAACCACTCAACTGAACCCCGCCCACCCACACAAACGTAAGCGCATTTTAATGATCTCATTTATGCTAATCTGCAAACGGTTAAATCTGTGCACGCCACAGCCACAAGGTGGGCCCAGACAGCGCCAGACAGCAGCAGCAGCAGCAGCAGCAACAACAACCATGTGACACCGGCTGCTAATGCTAATGAAGTCTAATTGAATTTTGGACACTTGACACGTCGCACAATCTGATCTTTTTCGAGGCGTGCGGCAAGCATCTGTGTGCACAGAGGCGTGTCGCCAAATTTAAAACCCTTTAAGATGCAGCTCAATACATGCCACACGGCCGGGCAGCAACAAATGTATAGATAAACAGACCCGTATGTTTCCGTTTAATAGGGCAATTGCAGCTATTGACAAGAATTGACATCATTTTGAACTTAGTTTCAGAAGTTCCCGTTTTCAGTTTCAACAGCAAAACGGCCGAGAATTTAGAAAGAGATTCGTTCGCAAATGTTTTGAAAAAAATGCTTTTGCGGAATGAAACAATTCGGAACGGAGCATCATGCACTGCAATGATCAGGAACAGATCATCACGTATTGTTTTTAATTTTAATATATTAGCAAGTCATTTGTTGGCATGATGGAAATAAAACATGCTGAGAAGAGTCGATGAAGTAATCACAAACGATTCAGTTAATTCAAGAAATATTTGTTAAAAGCTTACATTAATTAACATTAATGCGACAGGAAATCTGAAACGTTTGTTTGTGGAACACGTGGAATAAATGACTCGTTTAAGATTTATGTAAACGAGAACAGCCCCATTTTGAAGCCCCGACGGGTGTCGAGTCAACATTTGCGTTTTTGCGGTTGCGGCTGGACCTCAAAAGAGAGGGAGAGAGAGCGAGAGTGAGAGGGACATAAAATTTCCTATGCATTTAACCGCATTGAAATTTTCTCGTAATATTTGATTTGATTTTTAAACAAAAAGCTGCACGTCGAACACTGTCCGGCTCTGTCATGGTTCGAGATATGCGTCAAGTGATGGCCACTGGACAGTTCGGTCTGTCAAGTTTGGCAACGCATGGTGGCAGGGGGAGGGGTAGGGGGGCATGGGCAGGGGTATGGGATATGGGGTATGGGTAGCTTTGCTTTTGTTAGTCTGCCAACGAACCAACAACAAATCAGCATTATTTGACAACGCAGCTAATTTACATGAGTGACCAGAGTTCAGGCAATGACAGCGTTGACCAGCACATCTCCTGCCTTCCAGCCGCAGTCCCCGTTCCAGCTGCTGCCAGGGCTGCTCCAAATGCCTGATGGTTGCGGGTGGCAATTGCCGGCTCCAACAAAAATGTCAACGTCAACTGCGGCATCGACTGCGGCTGCCCGTCATGCAAATCGACGTTGAGCGACAACAATTCAAGTTGAGGCGTCATCACAAAAAGTATAAGCAACTTGCGACTTGTCTTTAATTTAATTTAATTACTTTTCAACGTAAATTTCGATACTTTATTGCCTTGCGTGCACGAGCATCGCACTCAACCGCAGCGGGCAGAGCACTGCGGGGGGAGGGAACGCACACAACAGCAGCAGCAGCAGCAGCAGCAGCAGCAGCAGCTGCAACAGCAGCAACAACAACAAAAGTGATTTAATCGGGAGTGTCCGACTAGGAGATATCCTTAAGCCAGATAAAAAGCATTATCGCTTTCTTCTGTACTTACATACATACATACGTATGTACATATATACATACATACATATACATAGCTATCTATTATACTTATGCTTCGGCTAGCTTCTACGCTTAGCCCCACACTATGGAAATAACTTCGGTTTTTATAGTCCGATCTTTATGAAAGTTATTAGAGTAAATACCAACGCCCAAAAATGCAACGTTTGGCGGAAATTCAAATTTTGAACCGGAAAAGGTATGAGATAGAGTTGCAAAGTCTCGACCTCTGTCGGTCGATATATAGCTAGATCAAGAATATATATACCTTATCAAGTCGAAGATATTTTCTCCTGCCTGTTACATAGATTCGCACAAAATCATTGTACCCTTGTTTAGCATTATAAGTGGACTCAGGGTATATCAACAGCCGAGATCTCCATTGATCGTCCAAAGGGCGGCTCAGCGGCGAGAGAAACAAATTTGAGTGTCACTTTTTAAATTGGTTTTGTATTTTGCTTACTCTAGCTTTGTTTTTGTTATTCGCATTTCATTTAAGATAGCCGCAGCGAAAGACGCAGATTCGGTATTGAGTGGATTCCGGCTATGGCGACCTAACTAGGCGCTACACTTAAAATTGCATGTGCATTTTATTTATACAAATTTTTAAATTTATCAAACTCTGTAGCGCGCTTTTAAGGAAGACAACGTGTAAATTACTGGAAAAGCAAAATATGACCGATATAAATTATTTCAAAATGATGTGAATTATTTATTTTGACAAACTCTAATATCTATAATGTGGTATCAAAAACCTCTTTCGAGAAATATAAAACAGTTCAGGTATGCCTTTAATGTTAATAAAAACAAAAAGAATTTAAATATATATCCATTCTGGCCTATCAAAATATCTATATAGAAGAAAATTGTAAATCAACATATCTGTAAATTATTTATTCACTTAAGCCCACATGACGAATTTGCTAAGTCTTGACGAACTTAAATAGGCAGTCTTATGAAATATCAGTTAATTATATATTATGTTTAAATAAATTATTATTATTATTATTATTATTATTATTATTACTTTTTTTACTATTATAAATAAAATAAACATTCATTTAACTAGTTTCCTCATTTCATTTCCATACACTTCATATAGCCGCCCCTTCCAATCGTAGCGCATCAAACAATGCATGATCCTCTGGGTTATCGGAGAGCTCCACACGTACCGACTGGGCATGCGGCTGCTGGGAACGGCTGCAGTCCGGCAGTTGGGGATTACAATACGCGTCGGGCCGCAGTCATATAGATAACATAAACAAATTCCGTGTTGATTCACTACGAATCAAGCATAATAAACGGATCGCGCGAGAACGTAACAAAGAAAAACATAAAGCACATAATAACAATTCTATATGCACACACACACATCCACATGCGTGTGTGTATGTATTTACATATGTGCAAATGTCGTGGCGTTTAATTTGGATAGATAGCGGTCACGATAACAAGCTGATTCCTATCTAAACTGTAACAGGTGCACAGCAGCGCTCGTCGCGTTCTGTTACCGAGATATTTTCCATTGATAAGGGGCCCTCGGGAGAGAGCACACGGTGAGCACGCAGCGAGCAAAGCTCGAAGAGAGCTTCAACGTGACAGCAGGAAAGCTTCGGCATTGACGTCGCCGTCGGCCTCGGCTTCTCTGGCGCTCGCACGCGGCTCGCCATGCGCGACTCGAGTTTCAATTTATTCAATTTACCGTTATAGCTGCAATTGATGAAAGCGACAACGGCGACGGCGACGACAACGGCGACGGCGACAACAACGGCGACAGCGACAGCGACAACAACAGAAGCAGCAGCAGCAGCCACAGCTCAGCTCAGTGAGTCGCCATCGCTGCTGCGATGCAGCCGCGCCACATCCGCCGCTTCATCCTGGCTTCATGAGCTCGCCGTAAGTTTTTCCCACTCGCTCTCGCTCGCACTGGCATTGAAGCTCTCGCTATCGCGTTCAGTTTTGGCTGTGCCGCCAGCACCGACGATCGTTTTCCACTCGCTCCAGTTCCAGTCATTGTCACTGTCAGCAGCAAGAGCCGTCGCGTCGTTATGTGTGTGTGCTTGCGCCTGTGTTATTGTTGTTGTCGCCGTTTTTCTCGTTGTTGTTGTTGTTATTGTGATCGTTGCATGTAAACCCCTTTGTCTGCGATTATCATGTATCGAAATAATGCGGATAGCTCTTTTTGTTTCATCAATCGCTTGAACGGTGCCACCCACGATGAACTGCAGCAGCCGGGCGAGCATGAGCCGACATCGGCGATCCTCAGCTACTGCAAACGAAAGGTACGTATCGCGGATACAGCAAGAAAAACGGATATATACATAAATGTATATGTATACATGTAATACAGTACGCAATCGATATAGTCAACGAATTGCGGAAACATTTAAACAGAGATAAAAAAAAAACACAGTGAATATAAATATATGTTACTCCCCGTGATTACTGTTACTTTAATCGGAGACCGCACAGATAAAAATGTTGTTGTTTTTAATTACTGTGAATATGATAAGTCAACGCCTACACAATGCTTCCTTACCCGGAACATTTCTATAAATAAAAAAAAGTAAAGAATGAGAACAAAAATTATCTATATATATAATAAGTGTCTTTAAATCATCTTAAGGATGATCAATTTTATGGGAATATTTAAAATCGTATGAATTGCTTGTGCTTTTATCAGGGGATATGTGAAAAATGTGAATTGAAAATGTGAATTGTTTGTGTTTTTATCAGGAGATACATATGTACATATATGCAAAATGATTGCAATCCAAACATAAACATCCAATAAAAAATATTGTTCCGAAATTATAAGTTGCATTTTTTTTTAATATATAATTTGCGATACCCGGATCTACATAAATATATTCATTTTAAATATATGCAAATCAATATTTTTTGTATTGGGTATTCAATTTGAATTGAATTTTGTAAAGTAAAGTAAAGTTTGCTAATTTCCGCGCGATATCTGTAACAAGAAATCCCTGCCTAATTCAGTCCTTAATTATTCAAAATTTATATATTGCTTTTTTTGTGGTGGTAATCAATGTTAAAGTTCCTAATTTCAAAGAATTATAATATATGTATGTATATTGAAAAATTATATTGCAACGATTAATAATTTAGATAGAAATAATATATTTCAAAGGATAATAATATATAGAAAGGCTTCTTTCAAAAACAATGTTTTAAAAATAAAAAATAAAAAACAATTTGAAATTTATATCGATTGCACACTGTACAACTTGACAATAATAACCAAAAAAAAACATTACAGTTTCTGCGTCCGTATGTGGCCATACTGACGCTGGTTGGGCTTAATCCCATCTCCACGGACATGAGCAATGTGCGCGCCTGTTGCAGCTATGTCCAGGCTCTGATGGTGCTCTGTGTGCTCCTGGTGGGCTATGTGCTGCGCTATCTGTGCGGCTATCGGTGAGTGGGCGACCCGGATGACAGATGACATAAATTTTAAATATTTTCGGCATTTCCAGTGGAGATCGTGGCTTCAGTAGCTATCGGGACATACGACCCGGTGGATACGGCAATAACAGCGATGTTTGCGGCTCCTCCTCCGCCTCCAGCACGCCCAATACCATTGGTGAGCTGCTGTTTGGATATGTGGTGCCGAGTGCCCTGAACCTGCTGAGCTTTGTCTCCGCGGTGCTCGTCTGCAAGGTGATCGAGCACGAGCAGCTCCAGAATCTCATTGAGCGTGTATTTCTGCTCTCAGCCAAACCGAAACGCTTGTGCCGCATGCTCTGGCTATATCTGGGCGTGGCACTGACACTTCTGCTGCTGCTCTTTGGCTACGCCTGCTGTGTAGTCATCATGCAGCCGGCACAGATCATTAAGATAGCCTGGCTGGCCGATGCACTGCGCGACTGGGAGCTGTGCCTGCGCATCTGCCTGTTGTGCACCATATTGCTGCAGGACCTGGTGGAGATAATTGTGCTGAGCAGCTACTACATTGAGTGCTATTTGCTGCGCGTGCATCTGGAGACCTTGTCGCACAAGCTGCTGATGCACTCGATCGACTCGCTGGACTGGATGCGTGAGATTCTCGAGTTTCGCAAGCTGCTGGAACGCGTCAACCAGCATGTGTCCATACCCGTGTGCTTTCTGATTGTCATGAATCTGGCGTATGCATTTGCTGGACTCGTATATCTCTTCAAGGATTTCGATTTCCACTACTGCGCCTTGAAGCTGGTGCTATTGAACATTGCCAACGTCATGTTGTGGCTATTTTTGGGTCTGCTGCCATTTTTTGTGGCCGGCTCCGTGACGCGTGTCTGCCAGAATGCCCAGGCCAACGGTCATCAGATACGAGTGCGTCCATTTGTATATCACAATACCTCCGCCGAGGATCTCAATTCAACGCTGCTGTTCGCCTCCTCGCTGGACATGTCCGCCAAGCTCTTTCGCATGCCCATCCAGTCCAACTATCTGTGCTTTGCCATACTCGTTGTGACCATTGTGGTGCTCACGCTGGGCATGTGCCTCAATTTGAGTGCCCTGGGCAGGTTCTGATACAGTGAACACTCGACATGCAGCAGTTGACTTACATATTTTTACTTATAGCTTTAATAAAGATTTATGCATAGTATTTGGTTTAACTTACAATTCTCCACCAACTGTCTTTTGCTTAGCAATTTTATTTACAAATTACGCTTGGATCATTTTTTGTTTTGGTTTTTTTGTTAGGGGATTGCTTTTGTTTACAATTTAGCTACTTAAATTCAGTTCAGTTTCAGTTTTTCTTTTTTTTTTTTGCTTAGTCAAATATAATTAAGAAGGCTGCTAACCATTTTGAAGAGGATTCCACAAATATAATATTTAAATACATTAAAATATATTCATTTGTAAATGTTGAAAAAATAGAATACAATCATTTTAGCTGCGCATGTTTGTAAATTGAAAAAAACCTATAATGATGACTAATAAAATATTTATATTAATTTAATAACAAATCATAATCTTTTGGCTGTCTGTTGTATTTTACAATCTTGGCAAGGAATTAGCTTTAATTGGCAAAATTTGAATTAACGTACTTAACATGTTGGTAACAAATCTTATTTAGAATTTCTATAGACATAGAAATAGTATTACAGGTAAATAATGTTGTTGTTCCAATATAAAGCATTGTTTTTAAATGCATATGATACAATAGTATATCTATATAATCCGAGTTTTTTACGAGTCATAAAGTAAACTTTCACAGGCTAAATTTGGAAATACTAAAAATTTAAAGCCCATTCAATTGGTTTGCAGCCTAGTTAAAAATATGCATGTGTATATATATATATAAACATAATACGGAACTACGCTTAAAGTTCATGTAAAGCGCGCGCTGACTAAGTATGCACTTTGGTTTCAGATTTTTATTAGGCGCATCCTGAACCTGTGCGCCGTCTTCCTTCTGGATTCACCAGCCTAGCCAGGGCGGATGATTGATTTTCGATGGCGGGGTAAAGGTCAAGTTTACAGGTATATTTATCAGCGCATGGACACGCTTCAGCCGTTTTAGTGTGCTGCGTATGATGATGCCATTCTTGCCAAGCAGAAAGCCAGCCGGTATTTGTGCATCCCGATTCGTCTTATCGTGTATCATCTCAATATAATGCTCGAACTCGGGCGATTTTGAATTGTATTCGGTGATAATAGCGCCAACGGCACCGGCGGCCTCGGCGTGTAGCGTTTTGGTAAGAAACGAGCATTCGCTGTTTATAGATAAAGCAGATAGGTTATAAATAGGTTGGAAACTTTGATTACGAGCATTTGGCCGACCACCCTCCCACATCCAACTTACCCCCTGTCCATGAGCGCAATGCTACCCTGCATCTCGCGGGCATTGCGTAGTTTCTGGCAAGCTTCGGGCGGATCGGCCAGCACCATGGGCACACCCTCCAGCTTTTGTGTGAAGGACACGCCAAAGTCCTTGGCCGGTCGCAATCGGTAGGTGTATTCCAGATCTTGCGGCGAAATGATTTCAAAGAACACGTCACCTGCAATTATGTCCTGAGTCGTCACTGGCATGTGTATTGTAGACGTGGCTGTGCATTGGCTCAGTATGGCAATCACTACCAAAACAATTAACATTTTGCACACATAACTAGCGTGAGTTTATTATTGGTAAAAACACCGAAATACATTGCACGGATGCAAAATATTGCTGGAGTTTTAAGGGCTGCCAACTCGTGGTGGCACGCTCATATGGCAAGGCTACCGGCGAAAAGTCTGGCAGCACACTAAACCATGAACAGTGGGGCGAGCGCAGACTATTTATTTATGAAATAATCAGACGAACGACTGTCGTGTGTAACCACAGAAGGCAGCCGAATCAGACCGAAGAAAATTTTGCTAATCTGCTAGGGAGACAAGTTGACTTCAGTGCGAAGTGGGATATCAGGGCAAGTGGCCAAAAAAACAAAACAAATCTAAATGTAAGTTCAACGATAATATAAAAACGTATGTTATCTAAAAACAAAGTTGTTTTTTGTTTTGACTCAAATAGGCAGTGATTATCCATATACACAAAATTTTGAGCGGGCGTTTGTACAAATTGAAGTTTGGCAGCATATTGCCAGTATTTTGTACCAATGTATACCGCGTGGAATTGCAGTGTTGCAATTGTGTAATCAAAACATCCCTGTGTGTACGTTCTTCTGTGACTGGCCAGCGGCATTTTTCCATACTCGATACCAAATTTCTGGCGATACCATTGTACTAGTTTTGTGCGGTAGCCATTTTAATTTTTGGCGTCGAAAAAACTACGGCGAGCGAATTTCGCATATCCTGTAGTTTTTGTTTAATTGCATTTAACGCAAGTCAGTTTTGCTCGTGCAGGCAGCAGCTCAGCTCGTGTGTGTGTCGGAGATACGAAACGTGTGGTTAACAGTTGTACACAGAATCTAATTAACTCAAGTACAGTACAATGTCGATGTCTGCCACGTGCTACAAGTGCAACCGGCCGGGCCACTTTGCTCGGGACTGCAGTCTCGGCGGAGGACCAGGAGGCGGCGGACCCGGTGGCGGTGGCATGCGTGATGGAGGTGGTGGCGGCGGCGGCGGCGGTATGCGTCGTAATCGTGAAAAGTGCTACAAATGCAATCAATTTGGGCACTTTGCACGCGCGTGCCCCGAAGAGGCGGAGCGCTGCTACCGCTGCAACGGTGTTGGCCACATCTCCAAGGACTGCACCCAGGCCGATAATCCGACGTGCTACAGGTGCAACAAGCCCGGTCATTGGGTGCGCAACTGCCCCGATGCGGTTAACGAGCGCGGCACAGGGCCAGCTAATGTCTCATGCTATAAGTGCAACCGCACCGGACACATCTCCAAGAACTGCCCGGAGACGTCAAAGACTTGCTACGGCTGTGGCAAGAGTGGACATCTGAGACGTGAATGCGATGAGAAGGGTGGACGGAACTAGGAGAGAGCAGCGCGAGCGCTCTCTGAGAAATCAACGAAAATGTTTTGTCAAATAAAAAAATGAAAAGAAAAAAATATATAATGAAAAAATCAATTGCCAGCCAACAACAACAAGAACAGCAAAACGCAAACGCAAAAAAAAAAAAGAAGAAGCGACCAATCAGTTAAACCAAGTCAAGATCAACAGACACAAAAACAACCCCAAGCACACAACCACACGTACACAAACCCACACACAGACTCACACATCCATACATACACATATATATCTAACCATCATCTAAGCAGCACATCTCTAATTCCAAAGCTCTGAGCCTGCAGTCGTAGAAGAACAGTGTATACAAGCAACAACTAGGAGGAAGCACGATGAACAGCAATAGTCTGGGAGAAGAGAAGACAACGATAGCGCTGGTGGCGCTGTGCAGCTGCTGGAAGCAGTAGTAGAAGAAACAGACGTTGTATTTTAGTAGCTACTACCACAATAGCAACAACTATATTATTATTATTATTATGCTGCAAACGTGTTTGAATTTACTAATTACAATTATAACGAATGGAAGAAAAAACTATATAAGAATATATAATTTACCTTAAACAAAAACAAAAAAAAAAACTCGTAAAAATATATAAAAGTATGTATGTACTACAATGTATCCTATTAGGAGTTCCAAACACGCAGAAGATAAATAACAACAAAGTAAAGTAGGAGCAATGAGGCGATCGATTCAGAACGAAAGAGAGGCATGTTCCTCAACAAAGCTGCGGCCGGCGAGCTTTTAAACTTCACCTATCATCAAAAAGCAAGATCTCTAGCGGGTTAGCTATGCTAGCTGGCAGCAAAAACAACAGCGAAAACAAGAACAAAGGCAGTTAGAAGATGACAAAGAGAAATGAAAATGAAGCAAAAAGCTGGATGAGGATGAGCTAACAGACAAACTCAGATGTAAAACCTTTTTCACTTGACCGAGACAGAAAACAAGGAGAACTACGAGGATGATGATGATGATGAAAAATTCAAATATCACTGTGATTGTTTTTTAATTGTAAATTAAAATGCTGGAGCTGCTGATTTGAGACAAAAGAAATAATAATAATAACCCCACAATACATATGTGTTTCACTTGAATTTAAGTTCTTTATTTTTGCAGATCGCCCGCTTTTTCTCCTTTTCCCCCTCGCTAACCAGTTTAGCTACCAGTTCTCGTTCTCTAAGCCGGCAAATGATGCAGCAGCTGCCCCCCTGATTTTTGCGCGAACACATGGCGCGGCAGCTGATGGTTTCGGCCGGCTATCTCCCTCTCTCGCTCGCTCTCACTCTCTTTGTCACTGAGTCAGCTTGGTGGAGGTGCCGCCACATAAAGCAAAAATTCTGCCATTGTTTCTAGCGTATTGCCGTGTGCATGTGCGTGTGTTTGTACGCCGCTTTCTTTGCTTTGCTTCCTTGTGCAACGAGACCTACAAGTATATCGGCGCACAACGCACACACACACACACGTGGGAATAAAGCATATACTTGCGTGTATATGTATTTATGTGCTGCTTCTTTAAGCAAAGTACAGTCGTCGCCATGCGCTGCTAATGGTGAAAACTTGCAAGCGACACACACACACGCAAATATAAGTGTGTGTGTATGTATGGACGGTGAGCTGGCGACGCTTGTGGTTTGGGGGGAGGGCTGTTATGCAGGGGGGCAAAACTTCAACTTGACTGCGTGGTCTTTACTGCTGCACTTGGCAACAAGTTTCGCCCGGCTGGCTGCATGCGCACCGTGTTCAACCGTTGTCTGCGCTCTCTCGCTGCCGATTGAGGGTCAAGGTCAGTGAGCATTCGCATCAGCTGCTGCGCATGTGCGACTCCATACGGCAAGTTTCGAGAAGTTGAACAAAGCTGCTGGTGGCACCTAAACTGCAGACTGGCTTCGTATGCACTGTACTTACGAAGCAAGCATTAACTTGTGTGTGTGTTTGTGTACGCACACATGCGGAGCTTGTGCATATGCAGAAGTCACGATTGGAAAAGACTGGAACTGGAAGTTTTCTTCGATCACATGGGAACGTTAAATAAATGGATATGCTTGTATTGTTTTAGTTTTAATATTTAAAGTACTAAAAGTCCAAAATTTTTTAATATTTTTTGTGAGGTGTGATACCGGATTTGTTAAATGAGTAAACCACA